TACAAATGTCAGAACTGTGCCAACACATCCAGAACACGTCATATGTACAACTAAGTAAACATTTCCAGAGCGTAGAATAAATAATTGACAAGCTGCACATTGTGGGACTTGTTAAGAAGTGGCTTTAGTGACGACTTGACTGCCTCTCAGATAAGCCTTCTCACAGCGAGGAGATAAACAGAATTAATGCATAATGAAAAGTGTTTTTCCAAGGATTGGAAGCACGTCTCTCAGCCGCCGAGCATCCGATCTTAACACAGGTGGCGCTTTAGGACTAGCAAGGTGAGGTGTTGCTTGTTTGATGCTGTCAGTCAGTGAAGCCGTGATATTTTCCCACTGTAGCTTCACCCACAGGTCTCCAGCTCTCTGTTACCCCAGCCATGAGCACAGGCGCCTTTGGGAGGGAGGCAGCAAGAGGAGGGTGACTACAGCCACCCAGAATTATGCAGCTATATCTGTGATGCTCTCATTCTAAATGGAGAAAAAAAGATTTAAATTTGTTACATAAAATTACAGATAGTTAATTCCAAGAAAAGATCGGCAAGTGTACCTATTGTTTTTGTATGGAAGATGGATTGAGCGGCTTTGAAAATTTGCCAAAAAGGAATAGTTTGCAATCCATCCATCCATTTATCCATCCATCCATCCATTTATCCATCCATCCATCCATTTATACATCCATCCATTCAGCCATTAATTCATCTCTCTCCATTTATCCATCCATTCATTAATCAATTCAAGCATCTCTCCATTTATCTGTCAATTTATCTAAACATCTATCCATTTATCTATCCATCCCTTTATTTATCCACCCATCTCTCCATTTATCCATCCATCCATCCATCCATCCATCCATCCATCCCTCCATTTATCCATCCATCCCTCCATTTATTTATCCATCTCTCCGTTTATCTATACATCCATCCATCCATCCATCCATCCATCCGTTTATCTATACATCCATTAATTTATCCATCCATCCATCCCTCCATTTATTTATCCATCCATCCATCCATCCATCCATCCATCCATCCATCCATCCATCCATCCATCCATCCATCCATCCAACGAGCCAGCATTTAAAGCCTAACTAATATAGAAATATCTTGCCACAAATTAACTGAACGTTTTAAATATTGACTACAGTAGGAGTGCAAGAAAATGTTGTACTGCAGTCATCTAATATTTCATGCTGCCTTTTGATAAACTCGCTGTATAAAGCATACTAGGCACTGAGGAGAAAAAGATCCTGATGTTCCTTTACTGAGAAAACTTTACTTCTTGCTGTTACACTAGTGCACAAACATCCACTGCTTATGTTACCTTAAAGCAGAGGAGATGGTTCACACTGATCCATGGCGTTGCATCTCCTTTGCTTGTTTTTTTTTTTTTTTTTGTTAACTATTTGTTAGCTATAGAAAGGTCCAGTCAGTTTCTAAATACAAAGAGGAAGCTTATTTTTGGGGTGGGAGATTGTGTTCCCAGTGCAAAGTTGCATAATTATTTATAATCATACAAGCCTGTTTGGATCAAATGTGTCTCAAAGGGAAATTGTCAGAAATAACACTCTGTTATGCAGCCACATTACTGTAAGTAAAGACTTGATTCCTCGTGAATTGATCTGACCTCACACCAGCTATTAATGATTCCCGTAGATTCACAATCACTGGGGTCCTTTGCAAATATCAATGACGAATTTTATTATGCACAATCTCTGTTGAGCTAATAGGTGAGATGTGATGGTTGTCTGGTAATTACAAGCTACATATCTGAACTGGACATGCAGTGATTATGGGGGCTGAAATTGTTTTGTTATCTTTATTTTAACTCTTCATTTGTCTCCAGTTGCTTTATATATTACATCAATATACTAGAAATGTATTAATACAATTATTTGGTCTTTTATGGCATAGAGGTCTAGCAACTTTTAAGGGTTTAGTTTATAATCTTTAGGGTTTTTGTTAGATGTGTTTGCTTGTCGGCTTCATCAGTTTCTTTCTTTCTTTTTTTTTTTTATTTGCTTGAATTTAGTTGGTCTTACATTGCATTCTCAAATCACATTCATTTGAGGACCAGAATGTTCACATTTTGTACAAAGAAGACAGGTGGTTTGAAAGGGGTGTAAAGGAAGCCATTTATGTTAAGAGAGGAAAAGCAACCTTAAACAGAGGGGGTGGACTCGGGTTTCAGCTCTCAAAAACTTACAACACAGCGATAGGGTTGATTCTTTCCCGCTATCATCTCAACCCCCGCCCCCATGCAGGACACTGGAAAAACAATTTAAAAATAAGTAAAAATATCTTAAATTAAGTGTATTTATCCTTAATTTGAGTAGGTAAATGAGATAGTTTGCTAATGGAATGAGTGCTTTCCCCCTTAATATAAGATAATTAGATAATATGCATTTGAAATAAGACAATGCAATTGTGTTTTCTTATTTTAAGTGTAAATTGTCTTGTTCCATTGGCAAAATGTCTCTTTTACCTCCTCAATTCAAGAACAAATGCACTCATTTTAAGAAAAAATTACTTTTGAATTGATCATTTTTACAATTTTGAATTGAAAAAGCTTCCTGGATGAGAAGCGAAACATTTTCAAACTTGAAAACCAAGTCCAGTGAATAGTTTTTTTTTTTACTTTTTTGGAAGGTCTACTATCACAATGGTGTTTGGTTTCTGATTGTAACCTTTGCTTACGGTTCAAATGTCTATCTGTCCTTTTAATGTAACTCGTTGGGATCTGGGGTTGATTCTTGAGCTTTTTGACTGTCCTAATAATGCTTTTTAAATTTTTTTTGTATCTATTTAAACACTGCAGAAACAGGGAGGTTTTGATTTAAGTGCCTTTAAATTTGGAGTATGTTAGAAATGCTCTCCCTTCTGATTGCAACTCCATTCTGACTACCTTACACTTAACGTTATGTCAATGATCAGATAACTTACCTGTAACATATGCCAGACGTATGGCATACGCTGGCATATGTTGGGAAATTTCTCAACGTATTTGTCGTATGTCGACGTGTACAAGCGTGTTTCAGCACTGCAAAAACGATATTGAAATAAGTAAAAATGTGTTAAATTAAGTGTATTCACCCTTAATTTGAGTAGGTAAATTAGATGGTTTGACAATGGAATGAGTAATTTTACACTTAAAATAAGATAATTGGATAAAATGCACTTCAAATAAGACAATGCAATTGTGTTTTCTTATTTTAAGTGTAAATTGTCTTGTTCCATTGGCAAAATTTCTCTTTTACCTCCTCAATCCAAGAACAAATGCACTTATTTTAAGATAAAAATAACGTACCTGTATCTAGATTTAGATTTTTTGCAGTGAGCGTACTTCAGCATGCTCATAACTTATACAAAAGGTACCCATAACCTATCCAAGGTATGCAAGCGTTTTTGCCAGATTTTTTGTACATCAGGCATAAGCTGGTCTAAATCGTCACGGTGTGACAGAGGCTTCACGTATGTGAGCCAAACCAGAATAGCCATGTCTTTAAGTTCTTTAAGTTTTTATAGGGGACTGGTAAGGAACTTAAAATCGGTTCATATTACTATTCTATAAGTTTGTGGACACTTTTGTTTCATTGCAATTGGCTTGTTTTCCAGCTGACATGTCCTGAAAACAAAAAAACTAGCCTTTGTTGTTTGAAGATTTCATTTCTGTTGATATCTTTATGTAAATGACATCTCTAGTGTTGAATGGCTGTGGCCCTGCAAACATGTAGCCTTATTGCATTTCAAAAGCCTCTAAATAGCAATAAAGGAAAGTCTCAGCTCACTTCCACTGTATAGAATTTCACAGAAATATCTAACTTGTTTCTAGCCATGCATTTCAATGCTCTTCTCCCTCAGAAAAAAAATCCATATTTTTTTCAAAACTATCTAACATTAATAGTGCCTTGCTTAAATATTCAGAGCTCTTAATCAGTTTCACATTTGTTTGATTTACAACCACTAACTTTAATGTATTTAGTGAGATTTATGAGAATATTTATGAAATATAGATGTATATATTTATACATCTATCTAGAAATAATAATAAAAAAAAATTTCATATAAAGGTTTGCAAAAAGTTGCTGTGTTTCCTGCATTTGTGTTGATCCCACTTTACTATGACCCCCCCAAAAAAGTGCAACTGCTTTCTTGTAAATAGAGTCAGTTTGTATGAGCTTTTAGCATTTATTCAGCTGTTCTGTATATTCTTCTGTGCAGAGTTGATGGGAAGATGAATGAGTTATTCAAAATGCATGCATGTTTTGCATGATTGGCCGAGTCAAATTCTAAGAGGAAAATGTTTCAGACTTGCAGGTCTAATCCCTTTAAACGTGGTTTTGTAGACTGTGGATTCTGGGAAGCTTGAAATGAATGATCAACACTTGTACAGTTATGTCTAGTTAATGGTTCGTCTACCAATAAAGTGTATTAGCATCCATGCTTGTAATATTACAAACATGAAAAGGTTTTAGTCACACCAATGCTTTTGCATGACGATGCCTCCATAAGCTTGAAACTACCTACAGTTTAATTAATGCTGCATTTATCATCTTCTCCAGGGTCCTCCAGGATCTCAGCCTTCCCCTCACACACAGCCCCCACCACACAACCCCAGCAATCCTATGATGGGACCCCATGGACAGGTAAGACAACTTCCTTTCACTTTCCTCCCATTTGTGTCTGCAAACACGCTCATTCTCTCTCGTATCATAACACTGATGTACAGTAGCTCCTGGGTCCCCTCGGTATGTGATCAGCCAGGGACAGTCAGCATCCAAGATGGTTTACTGGATGAATAATTCAGCTGTGTTGGCCCGGCTGTAGGGAGCGGAGGTGCATCTGGAGGGCCTCGTCTCTCCCTCAGCCCAGCACTCTGCATCCCATAGTCCATCAATAGAGCATTAATATTGCAGCAAGGCCTGACACTGTGCGGCTCTCTGTGTGCAAACCCGCCACAATGTGGGAGGGAGAAGGTTGGAAACGGGAAGTGGTGGAGGAAAGAGTAAGAAAACAGTAGTAAGTCAGTCCATCGCCTCCAGCAAAATGAGCGTAATTACATAAGCTGGCCTCTGCTTGCCCCAAACGCACAGACTGACAAAGGAAAAGAGTTCCCCCTTATCTGCATGTTATGATTGTTAACACATCTGTCTTCCAGCCCAAATTCAAATCTGCATGTTTCCCCATCTCTGATAATGTTTACAACGACTTCTTCTCATTTGACACTGAAAGATGGCTGCCCTGGATTTGGGTATTTGTAATGGCAGCAGTGTACTCATAGGTGATACTGCCAACCGTCTGTCTGCAATGTTTTACATTATTCACTAGTTCAGTAGTGCTTGCTCTCTATGCATGTCCCAGCCAGCCTGTTCTTGTCCCGATCTGCTAAAACGTCCAGGTTTGCTTCTTAAGTCCCTCAGACTAAACATCCAGAATAGCCTCAGCTCTTCTCTCTGGTTAACAGGAGATAGTTATCACCCTTTCAGTACCTTTTGCTACACTTTTAAAATTAATGAGTGTTATCTTTGCCTGTATTTCTAAAATCTTTTTTTTTTTAGCTGTGCATCATCTTGTTTTCTGTTGCACCTACCTGCCTTTATGTGGTTGTTTGCTCTGTCTGATCTGTCTGCCTCTATACTGATGGCTTTCACCACCTGAGATCTTACTTTCCGAGATGCAGCAACGGGCTACAGCTCATAATTATCCAGCCCAATAGCTCTCCCTGCTGACCACTAGAGAAAACAACTTCCATTAGCTTACAGGGACAGGCTTCTCAATGTTTCCAAACCCTAAAGACACCCATTCAGATATAATGAGCACCAATTTTTATCCATATTAAATACAAAAATTTAGCAGATTTGCTTGGGAAAAGTACAATTGTAGCAATGAGGCCAATTTGAAATAATTATTCATTTTAAGGGTGTTTTTAATTAAAAAATATCTCGCCAGGAGATTTGTTAAAAAAAGCCAAACATTTAGTCTTAGGTAAGAAGCCAAAGAGGTATGAGTCCATCTTTAAATAGCAAGACTGGAATGAGAATGAACTGCAGCTGGTCTTGGTTGTGACATCATTAAGTAGTAATCTGTGGCTGAATTTTAAGGATGGAGCTGATAATGACCACAGCACGCTCAGACATGTTATTGTTTGTATGGTTTTTCCATTATAAGCTGTCATTTCTGTCACGTATCTTCAGTTTTACTGATTATATCTTCTAGAACTATTACAAAATAAAGAAAGTGTGATATTTTTTTTGAGCTAAGCTAAAGTACATACATTTTTCCAGTCTAATAGTCAAAAATCACATTAATATTGAATTTAAGGTGGAGCTTCTGTCAATAATCCTCATCTTCTGATGTTGAATTTTATATCCCAGAGTCAATGTTGGCTAAACGTCTCTAAGGAAATTGAAAGCATTTCCATCATGAAACATAAATGTGTTTATTTGTGGATTTTTCTAAAATAAAAACGTCTTTTTTTTTTATCCCCCTGTCCATCTTTTAGCCATTCATGTCTCCACGGTACCCAGGTGGGCCTAGACCCTCCCTCCGAATGCCAAACCAGCCCCCTGGGAGCATCCCGGGTTCCCAGCCCCTCCTTCCAAACAGTCTGGACCCCACTAGACCTCAAGGTACTGACTCAAGGAATGCTGTTAAAGCGCCCCCTGCAGTTTATGGTGCTCCTCCTGAGGAGGCTTCAGATAATTTAAAATGATGTGGAACAGGATTTCTTGAGGATGCCACTAAACCAAACTGCAATGATGTTTTTTTAGGAAAAAAAAAAGAAATCTGGCATTTTTATGTCCATTTAATACAAACATTTAATTTAAAGATTGGATTTTCTAATTTTCTCAGCTGAAACAATGCAAGCAGATAATTACTTCAAGGCTTTTATATGTCTATTCCGCAGATGCAATAGAAGTAGTATGCACTTTTTATATTTAGGGCAGCATCTTCATCATCTAAATATCTGCTCCAATTCTATCTCCCTCTGTGTACCACAACAGGACATCCAAACATGGGAGGTCCAATGAGAATGAACCCCCCGCGAGGAATGGGAGGCATGGGCCCACAGGTAATTGAAAACACGCAGAATGGACATTATTGTGGTTTAGGACCAACACAGAGGTTGCCAAACAAGTAACAACATTGGAAAATAAGCTCCAATAAAGCCCGTTCTCAGTCCAGCTGCTCTGCTGTATCATTTTTGTGCTGTTTACTGAGTGCTTCAATAAAAACAATGATCATTTTAAGGGTACATTTGGCTTGACGAGCCTTATAAGTTTGCCTTTAAATATCAGGAGCGCTCCGGTGACTCACTTGGCTCTGACCAGAGGTCACACTCTGCAAACACCAGTTAAACATGATTGATGAAGCTGGTTAATTCAGATGCATGAGCCAAAACCAAAGCCAAAGATTATTCTTGCCTCTTAGGAAATGGATTTCACTAAATGTGTCGTATTGTAATACTTCCAGATGCTCAAAGAACAGGTTCCTTTTGAATTCGCCTTATCAGACGGGCACTTAAATCTGCATCCTGCCATCTAACGTTTTAAAACAGTATCTCAGACAAAGACACTCACACTGTGCCCTTCAGCCCCTCTCTGTGCCACCCTGGTTCTCTGGCTTTGGCAGCGAGCACGGCAGCAGCTGGTGTGGCATCTGCTCGACAAGTGTAATCGTCTGCTGAACAAAACTCTTCCTTTGGTGGAGCAGATCTGTTGCCTCACACTAACACACACAGACACATATGCATACCCAAGTATAAATATGTATTGGCAGCCAAATCTCCCCACTGGGCAGCAATGAAAACCCTCATGCAAATACAGAGACGCTGAAACACACACAGGACATTATTAGCCCCTCGTTAAGAGGAGACATGATCCTCACTGACCTTCATCAGGATTCAGAAACTTTAAATTAAAGCTGGTATTAGACTCTGTACTGACTGTGTGCTGGTTTGTTTATGCAGAACTACGGCGGAGGGATGAGGCCTCCTCCCAACTCCATGGGGCCGGGGATGCCAGGGATGAACATGTTAGTAGGCGAAAGAAAACACTTGTTATTGTTTTCCTTTATTCCACAGTTTCATGAATATCTTGTGAAATTGTTGTTTTGCTGTTTAATTTTCTATGTAATTGTATATCAGCATTAAACAAAAACTTGATTCATCTCAACAGTAATCTGCCTTTTCAGAGTTAGGTTCAAAATTATTTATTTCCCAGACAGATTTAGATTTTAATTGTTTTCATTCAACCAGCAAGTTTGCTTCTGGTTGGAAATGAGACTATATAACATTTTGAAAAGGAACATTATTATTTGTTTTTATTGTTTTTATTTCTACAAATTCTTTTTTTAGAGTTATTGTTGTTTATGTGTTTATGTGTGTATATTATTTTACATTTTGAGGCAAAAACTCTTTATAACCTTTTCAATTAACCACTAAAATATCTCTATAGGCTGTACAGTAATTACAATCCTTTATTTAGTTACAAACTATTCCATGTTTCCATTTTGGTGCTTCGTCTTGCTTGATTAATCTCTAAGTCTCTTAGGTTGAAAGGCCTCCTCGCCATTACCCTAATTGTTTGCTCCTTCACTGATTCTTTAACAGGTTGCAGTAGGGACTCTTGGCTGAGCCGCTCCAAACCGTTAACATTTCTTGTTGTTGGAGGAAACATGTTAGCAGACAATTAACAATTAACAACCTAGCTTTCTATCAATTATTATTTTAAGTCATTTTTTTAATTCACAGAGCTATAACCACAAACAAACTTCCACTATATTACAACTTAAAAAGATACTATATTAAGGTTTTCCCAACAAACAGGCTAACAGTCTCAGAAAAAAATCCCCTGAGCCTTTGGACCGGGATTTTAACGACAGAGTATTAGGGCCCGGCTACAGATTTTTTTATTTTTATTTCATTCCAGGATAAAGTCGTAAAAAAAAAACAAGAACAACGTCTCAGCAAGAATAAAGTCATAAGATTATGACAATAAAGTTGTAAAATTATGAGAGTAAAGTCCTAATATTATGAGAATCAAGTTGTACTTTATGACATCTCTTACAAGAAGCAGGTTCATCCCTAAAATGAGGAACGTCGAGCATCATGTGAAGCTATTCTTTTGCATTGGTTTAAGGAGAGCATATATTAATATCTTCATTTGGATGAACTTGACCAACAATAACAATTGTTACGTATTACGGACAATATACTGCATTGTTTTTTTCTAAGTAAATATTAGGGACCATCCAGGATTTAAATTAAAGTAAAATCAATTATATTTAGTAAAATAGATGTAAGATCTGAGTTTAAATCATAGATTGTATGAGTAGTTGATCACCTTGGACCTAGAACCTTGATATTTGTTTTATACATCTTTAGTTGTTTAAAATATTGTAAAAAGTTGTTATTCTTAGTTAAAGTTTCCCCCAAAACATTTTCACTGTTACTGATCGGATCGCTGTAAAAATGTTAGCTGTTAAAACAAACATTAATTCAAACTGAATGGGTCCCAGTGGTTCCATTACAGCAAAATTAACATTTTCTGAGTCATCCTGCATGACTTTATAGAAAACATTTATCTCAAGAGGAAAAGAGACATTTCTTCTTCTTGGATCAAAAATGATTCGATGTGATGCATGTTATTCTTTACATTCTGTTATTATCTGCAATTAATTAAACTGTTAATACCTTTTTTCCCTATTGCTGAATATCAAACCATTCAACAGTGTAAATCTAGTTTCTTCATTACAATATTAATCCTATTCTATAATTTTACCTCTATGGTATTCTCAGGGGTCCTGGTGGAAGAGGTCCATGGCCCAACCCCAACAATAATTCAGTGAGTCACTTTTCTTTCTCCCATGACTTGTTCTCTATACAAGAACTGAGCTTCATTCTTTTCTCTCTCCTCGTGTCTGTTTCCTCCACAGATAGCTTACTCATCCTCATCTCCAGGAAACTATGTGGTGAGTGTCCCATTGAGGGCTGATGTGCGACCACAGGCCATAATTTACCTGTTACATTGCGGAGCCTGACGAGCACTCAGGACTCATTCTTCCTCTAATCACTTTAGGGCCCTCCTGGGGGAGGTGGACCACCAGGAACTCCTATCATGCCCAGTCCTGGAGGTGAGTAGCTGTTCTATCCAAACATGATCCATCTCAACTTGTTCTTCGACGCTGCCTCAGGTTAAAAGGATTTAAAGAAAATTATAAAACATTTTGTGACTAAAACCTTAACTCTACGATGTGTTGTAGAATTTTCTTGATTTTGCACTTTCTTTAAAAACTGTATTTCCTGCATTGTTTGCTGTTTTATATTAGTTTATAGTGTTAAAAGAAGCAAAGAAGTGACTCCATCCCATCTTTAGCCCATCAAAAGAAGCGTTTCTGTGGAAGACTGGCTTAGAAAAAAAAACTGATACCCTGTAGCTGTTCTGTTGCCCTGTGGAGAGCTTCTCTTTATGTCCTCCATTCATTATTTATACATATACCTCTATTGTGATATGTGGTTGGGGCAACCTTTTCACAGCAAAGCTCACAACGACACCAGGAGGGAAAACATATTTCCTCTGCCGCCGCAGAAACCTCCCTCAGTGAGGCATACCTCACATGTGAGCCCCCCCCCCCCCCCCTACAGTCATGACAATGTGCCATTCATGCCCAAGATTCTTTTTTTTGTGCTATATTCTACCTGCAGTGTCAGAACAAGGTCACCTTATCCCTTTGAATTTTTTTAGCATACACACCGAGTGGCACAGCATGCACTGAGGATAGTTTTATCCTGATGTTATTTCCTCATAACAGGAAGAAGGAGCTACAGTTCTGTTTCCCTTCTTTAAAATTCTCCTAAACATCAATTTAAATCTTTCTGCTGTATTCCTTGGATGAGAGCAGTGCACTTGTGCTCTGAGAAGGTTTCAAGTACCCGATTTGATCCCCACAGCCTCCACTCTGGGTCCCTGAGTAAGACCCTTAACCCCACACTGCTCCCCGGGCGCCACACAATGGCAGCCCACTGCTCCCCAAGGGGATGGGTTAAATGCAGAGAGTGAATTCCCCTATTGTGAGACATCAAAGAGATTTACATTATGATGCTTTCTAGTATTTTCTAACAAATGTGAGGTTTTTACATAAGATGGGCTGAGAATAAATTTCCCAGACATGCGTTCCATGTGTATCAGATGGCTTTTTAAGGCATAGATTGTACAGAGAGCTGTATGTTGGTTTAATACAGAAATATCTTAGAGCAAAACAGCATTAATATATGCTGCAATCATATAATCACCTGCTTTCTTCTTACAGATTCCACAAATTCAAGCGAAAACATCTATACGATGATGAACCCTATTGGCCCAGGTGGAAACAGACCGAATGTGAGGCTCTGCATTTTCATCAATATTTGACTTCTCTTATATACCAGTTACTTAGGCGTGTGAAAAAAACAAGAATGTTTTTCTTTAGTTCCCAATGGGACCAGGTCCAGATGGACCCATGGGTGGAATGGGAGCTATGGAGCAGCATCATATGAACGGGTCACTAGGTGAGGCGCATCAGATACCTCCTGAATCCATTCCTGATGACGCATGGTTCTTTCTCTGCTCAGACGCTTTTAGATGTAGTATGTTGCCCTCTTATGGTAGATTGAAGAAGTGTTTTAAACAGCGCTTATTTTTTAATATCGATCTTATTGATCTTGTGGATGTGACGTATCCTTTAAATGTTCTTATTTCCTCCACATCTAATCACAGGCTCTGGTGACATGGATGGGTTGCCAAAGGTAAGACTTTTTTGACTTGCTATGCAGCTCCTGGTTTCTGTTCCCCACTGATATCGTTAATCATTGGTTGCTGTTTTTGTTTTTTGTTTCTTCCTCGTGGGTTGCAGAATTCGCCTAACAATATGGCGGGCATGAACAATCCTCCCGGCACTCCGCGGGATGATGGCGAGATGGCAGGCAACTTTTTAAACCCATTCCAAAGTGAAAGTGTGAGTAGCAAGAGACACAGCCTACATCACCCCATGTTTTAATGCCTCACTTCTTCTGTCTCATCTACTTCCTGGTAAAACAAGCTACATCTGCCTTAGTGCTCAGCATGCATACTGTTCATTATGAGCTGGGATTATCTTCTCTTGCTTCGTCTAACTGTCTGGTTTTCATTTTACTGTTTGTCCACTAATGTTCTATATTAAACATCTAAGGCCTTTACAGTACAGTTGGATTTAAACTGAAATAAAACACAATGGTGGCTATGGAAGGCAGTCAGGGGCAACTGATTATATAGGGAAATATAGCAAGGCAACACTTCATAAAATTATATTTTATGAAGGACCATCAGAGTAAAATTGCAATAAAAAAAGGTCTTCACAAAATCCTGATTAAAGTTTAAGGATATAGCATAAAAACTGTGAAGAAGTTCAATGGGATGAATACTTTTGCAAACCGAGTAACCACAACATTTTTTTTATATATGGGCAGTTTTCCGGTAACCTGGCAGTAGCCAGATTGATATGTGTAGGACTGAGTTGAGTTCTATGCTATCAATCTGGGATGGCTGCCGTTCAGTGTGTCTGTGAAGGAATACTTCGAGCTGATTGGAGGTCTTGCCCGCCTTCCATAATACGCATTCAGCCAATTGTATCAGCGAATCGTGACGTTTCGTAAGCTGATAAATCAAACATTTTCCAAATCCTTTCAGAAGAAAAGCCCAGACATTTTTCTCATCTACAAATGCACAAAGTGCTTCTCTTTGCTCCTTTTTAAATGAGAAATTGTCACTATTTTAGCTAAAACCGAGGCAATTGCTGATTTGACTACTGAGGCCTCCAGCGTAGCTATGTCCTACATGTCCTGCTGACATGTCATTGGTCCAACTCACTGGTTGTTCGGAGACGGATGTATTAGCTGGAGTCTTTCAAGGTGGATTTGTTGTGAGACTGAAAACTGAGATCTTGCAACAATCCAGAAGGTAGAGCTTGCCCTGCTTTAACTTTTCCAAACATTACAATCTGAGATCTGCCTAACCCAAGGAAACTAGCCTGCTTAGAAACCTGCTCTTACATGCAGCTATATTAACTGTACTACAGTTGTTTGAAGCTAGAAACTAAACTTCTGTCTTATTTTTTCTTCTGGCGTCTCTTTTGCCACCTAAACTAAATAACAATTGCATTATCTGCTGTGTGCTTCTACTGAATATGGCATTTACCATAAAGGAACTGCTTTCATCTAAATCTGGGTGACATAACAATATTAATCCAGCATTTGCTTATCTTGTCTCTCCTCTCTTTTCTCTTTTTGCAGTATTCACCCAACATGACGATGAGTGTGTGATTTTTTTTTTTTTTATCTTTCATTTTACCTCTTCATCTCCCTTTATCTGAACCCCTTCTTCCCTGACCACCATGGTGTGTCTTGCGTTACCCTCCTCCTTCCCTTCCCTCCTTCCCTTCTCCGCCCTCCTCTATGTGGATGGCGTGTGGTGCCACACAGCCCCTGGGGATTCCCCTGGAAAGCAGGACTTCCCTTCGGGCCCCACATCCCACTGCCTGTAAAATGGGTGTGAGAGCGTGAAGGGGTCTTAAAACAGCAGGAAGGATCTTCTCTTTCCCTCCGCTCCGTTGAGAGCCTACCTCTCCTTCAACGAGAACCTTCTCATGTAGGTCATCCTGGATGGAGTCTTTCATTTAACTCTTGCCCAGCCGGACGCCATCATCACACCATGCAGAACATGAATATATGGAGGACTTTGCAGCCGCTGACTCATGCAGGACTTTACAAAAACCTCCTCCTGTGGCAGACATTTTAAGACGATGAACTAATAATTTTATTCTTGGACAATTTTCATTAAATATTTGTTTTTGTGGGTGATAATAATCTAATTTTAATAACTGCTATTATCCAGCTATTGTAGGTATGATTCTCCTGTTAAAGGGCACATTGTATCTCAGCAGTAGCACCAAGGAAGACACGAGAAGCACACGCCTCTGAAATGCACAAGGATTTTCAGTTTACATGTTTTGAGATTGTTTTTTGATTGTGTTTTTTTTTTTGCATCACTCTCCGTTTGAAAAAAAAAAAATTTAAGACTGCATTTCGAGGTACAGCTTGCCTCCCGGATGTTCCTCATGGACAAGCAAACGACTGTCATCTGATGAGGATGTGGTTGGAGGAAGAGAAGTCTGTTCTGGTTCCGATTGCACATGGTTGATCAGTTGTTTATCTGTCTTGTCTTTTAAAAAAAGACCCCTCAAATAACTGCATTTCACTTGCTGGAAAGTAGCTAAGCTGGGATACATTGATGGAAACTGTTTCAGGTATCAAAGCTGGGCAGCAGTTTGTAAATCCCACATTTCTTCTTGTATGTAAATGACAAGAGGTTTGAATTGTGCTGTGCTTGTTTTCTTGTTATTTACAATTTGTCAGTTAATTCAAGTTGGATTTTTCTTTTCTCTCTTCTTGACTTCCATGTGGCAAAATTTCCATCTGAGATTTACTCAAACATCTGGTCAGTTTTGGGACTGGTTGATCACTGAAATCATTGTAATACACTCACAAAGGCAGTCTTGCTTTGAATTGGCAGGTTTAGGGTTCTCAGGGTTTGATAATCGGGCATGAAAATTCTGCAATGTTGCAATGTTAACACTAACAAAACCAGAATAAACTGTCCCAACTTAACTAAAAAGCAACAGCTGTTCCTGCTGCTGCTAAAATACAAACTAAATTACTATTTATTACCATTATAGTAAAGTTATTTGTATCATTTAAACATTGCGATTTGAATTGATTCAGGCAGAAATATAGAATAGAACAGGCTTATTCCACAGAACATAACAGCTTTTACTTTTTCTGCTCTTAATGTAGCTGCAGCAATCAGTAAAATCATAAAAGCTAATAATATAATAGATTTGACTATTTTTAATGTAACAAAGGCAAAGGAAGGACAGTAAAAATATTGTTGTGTTTTGGTTTAATTGAGTTTAAAAGATTATGGATGATGCCTATTAAATGAATGTGCAGTGGGTCCTTAAATCTGGTCGACTCACTCTGAATAGGCGATGCAGCCACACTAGTCTAAGAAGAAAATCAATCATAGGAAAGTTTGTAAGTTATTTTAGATCTTTTAAACAGACTTCTTTTTTTTTATTTTCATTTTTGTCGTCAATATATGTGACTGAAAATGGAGTCCCATCCAATCTGCACAATTGGTATAAATCAGCTACATATCAGACTATTTCAATGTCTCCCTGCATGTTCTGTACTCTGTCTCATCACTGCTGCTCCACTCCAGTTATCTCCGCATTATTCAGACCAACAGACAACAATCAGCAGCTGAAGGCTCTGTGGGTGACATAGAGGTATCTTCAGGATTTAGCAACCACTGACCTGGGAATTACTCTCCTTCCTTGGATTTAGTGACACACTTCCCTTCTTTCCTCTTCTCCACCACCTCCAACCCCCCCTTTAATTTTCTTTGTTATTATTTTGTTTTGTAAATACTGTAAAATGCATTTTGATATCATTGACATGTTTTTGATATGTCAGTCACTACCAATGAATACAGCTAAAAGTAAATTATAAATAAAACTGTTTTTCATAGAGAAGAGGATGCGCTAACCTTACCATTTGGCTCACTGGGCTATAATCTATGAGTTTCTGTAAAGTGGCTGAATGTGTAAAATGCAACGACGTGGCGAAGGCGTAAGGGGAGGAACAAGACAGAGGGAGAGGACGGCGAGATGTGAAACGAGCTGTGTCCTCCCTCTGCCTCTTTACTCTTTATTTCAGTCTGATGTAACTGTTGGCTTTGAAATGAAAGAAAAAAAAAACTAAGGCAAAGTTTTACAAAGGGCATCTTTTAAAAAAAAAAAACATGCGACATTATGTTGCAGTTTTTAATATGAAGGATTTTTATCAGTTCAGGAAAACTTTTAAACTGGAAAAAAACAAGAAGCTATGATTTTAAATGAAACATTTAAATCAGAAATAGGAGGAAACCTCTGTTCTTTGCTTTTCACTCCTGTGATAGCACTGTATAGTTGAAAGCTCTCACTGATCCTTTCTCAGTCCTCTGTGTATATTGATTGTTGGCCATCTCTGTACTTCTATTGTGATGTATAATACTGTACCATTAGGAAGATTTTCAGGTCGGGTGGGCTGGTTGTTTTACTCGGGGCGGGTTTCACGGTCCTCTCAGATGATGCGGCAGTATTCAATATGAAGCAGTCTGTCTCTTGGGTTTGCTTTGTATTTCATGGTAGGATAGTTGAGAATCTTGTCTTAGGGACTTAGGTGTCTTGTGTAGGTAATAAAGATGTTCTTTGTATGTTTCTTTATATTGTAAAGTTTCTTTAGACAGAAAGAAAAACAGATAATTTGCTTATAAAAAGAGAAACAATGCATCAATAATAAATGTCATTTGATTTTTTTCTCCCTGTTGTTTGAATTTGTTCTTCTATTTTATTATAGTAAACCCTTTTTTTAAGAATTTTTTTCAAGTAGACTGGGTGTGAGCTGAGAATGTAAAAATATGTTCTTTTTTAATATTTTTGCATCTTGAGTTTTCAATTAAGACAATTTTCAGAGGTTATTTAGTCGCTACAAAGCCTGATTAGATGATATTCAATGAATTGCAGAGTTAATAAATCCCAGAGAGTTGGCTGTTAACATCCTCTGGTCAGCTGTGGGGAAATGGTTTATTTATTGCAATAGTTCCCCCTTAACAAGAACTACACTGCAAAAATGATCTAGAAATAGGAAAACATCTTAAATTAAGTGTATTTACCCTTAATTTGAGTAGGTAAATAAGATGATTGGCTAATAGAATGAGTATTTTTACTCTTAGAATAAGATAATTAGATAATACTCACTTTTTCATAATTATTTTTTCTTATTGTAAATGTAAATAATCTTTTTCCATTGCCAAAGTGTCTCATATCCTCAGTTCAAAAACAAATACACTTATTTAAAGAAAAAATGACTTATTAAGATTTACTTTTTGTATTGTTGTTAAAATCTCATTTTACCCGCATTAAAATGAAATTATTTATACTCACAGCTCAAGTTCATGACCACAACTTGATCTAGTTCTCATTCATTCATCTCATTACATTAACTAGAGTTTTCAATGATGTGACATGTTTTAAAATAGGGTGCTCTTACCTGTTGGGATCCCCTTTTGTTTTGTGAACTGCCTTAATGATTCATTACAGGTTAATATGGAAATATTGCTTAAAGATTGCATGGTTAAATCATGCAGTTTTTCAGATTTGTCAGATGCAAATCTATAATGTGATTCTCCTGCTCCACTGCATCTCAAGTACACTTTGCTGGTTAAGATCTGATGACTGGAGGCTGCTAGAGTACAATGAAGTCATCATATGTTCAAAAGGCCAGCTTGAGAGGATTTTAGCTCTGTGGCATGATGCAATATCTGGTCAGACGCAGCCATCAGGGGCTCATAAAAGGATGGACATGTTAGCAACAGCAGTGTTGGAAGCTATTTCAGCAATGCTCCAAAGTAGGGTACGATACATTTCCCAACGTAACTCCAAGCCCTGCACATTTTATGTCCCAATAGCAGAGGTGTCAAGAAACAAAGTACAAAAATACTTTGTTACCTTACTTAAGTAGAAATTTCGACTTTCTATACTTTACTGGGGTAATTATTTTTTTATATAGCTTTTTACTTGTACTGTTTAAATTTTTTTTTTTCGTAATTATCTCTACTTTCTACTCCTTAAATTTTAAAAATTGACTTTTTAATTTTGTTTCATTTAAGCTCATTTTCGTTATACCCTGTTTGTATTTAGAATAAATAAAAACCATCAAAATAAGCTGTTTCATCCAGACAATTTCTTTGTTGTTGGACTGGGTCCTGCACCAAGTTGTTGTTTGCACCATATGATGCAAAGTTAAATACAAAACTGTTACCATTAGTTTAAAAACTAACAAAAATTAAGTATCAGGAAATCATCTTCTAGAATTGTCAAAAAACGTTCCTTTAATATAAGGTTTAAACCATTCGTCATTAATTTTTTTTCCTGCATTACTTTTATACTTTTTTTTTTTTTTTTACTTTTACTAAGTAAAAAGCTTAGGTTGATACTCTCTACTAGTATTAATACTTCTACTTAATAAACAACACTTTTGACACCTCTCCCCAATAGTGCAAACAATCTGCAGATGGATTACATTTTCCAACTTAACACTATAAAAAGTGATGTCTTTTTAACAACAGTGGTGTTCGATGCAGGATTTTTGTTCTGCAGCCAGAGGCTTGTCAAACCCGAGCTCTGGCTTTCAGTCTCTTTGTGTCCTTGGTGAAGACATTACCTACTGATGGTAGTCAGAGGGCCCGGTGCTGCCTGTGTACAGTAGCCTTGCTTCTGTCAGTGAGCCCCCAGCTTGCTACCCACAGTGTGTGAGCGTAAATGGGTGAATGGCTCATTGTAGTGTAAAGCACTTTGCTCCAGTCTCCTGACTTGGAAAAAGAACTATATAAATATTGGCCTTTCACCAAAGAGAGGTTGTTCTTTATGGTCTCCAAAAAGGTTACACATATGTACTCATCTAAATCCAGAAATGCCACTAAGAACAAAGTATGCAAGAATGTTTGATTATGGATTCATATTTTAATAACTAGTTTAAGTCTATAAATATGTTAATAACATTGACAGAATAAAGAGTTTATTATCAAAGCAGGACAAAAAAAATGTTTTTTTTTTTACTGTCAATAGATGAGATCATCTTAATCTTGTATTCGCTGATCTCAGTGAAAAAACAAACCAGCATCAACAGCTCATCCAACATGCTGCTGTCAGAGCGCTGACCAACTTCAAAAACAATGCATCATATCACACCAGTATTAAAATCCTGAACTTGGTCCCTATTTCAAAAGGGTGATAAATTGTAAATATCACAGGTCAATAAATCTTGGAATGTTTAGATTATCAAATTAGATTGTTAAAAATATTCAAGCCACAGTCCTGAAGGTTGTTTTTTGTTTCCCTTAGTGGTTCTACCAGCTGTAAAACCACATAGTACTTAGAAAACTAAAAAAACTAAAGCGCAATTGTATTTACAGAAAAACATATAAAGGAAACAAGTACCAAAAGAAAACATGTAAAGCAGCACAAAAAAAAAATCCTAGAGTTCTGCCACATTTACATTAAAATGATTAAGTAATTTGATTAATTTGGTTGGTGTTTTGGTTGTTTGTTTTTCTAGTTTTATTATGTTGTTCTAGTATGTTTTAAGATCTGTCATTTCAAAGTTGTAAAAGGAAGGTATGTTTTTTTTAACAATTAATTTAATGCAGATAAGAATTTGCTAAAATGATGAACCAATTATATATTTTTCATTGGCTGTCAGATGTTGTCCAGTATTTGGTACTAGGGAGCAGAAACGTAGCCAGAAAATTTGGCCAGGATGGCCAGGCAATGACCAATGTATACTGAGGGGTGGCCAAAAGTGGATAGGCACCAGAACACTCAGGGTCAATCTACACTGTTCCAACAGGAACAAGCACAACGTCCATATTTCTAAATAAAGACAAACTATAGTTTCCTACAGCCTTTGCCAACAAATAGATGCATATATTTAAACATCTGTCTAGATAAAAGCTATATTGGATAAAATTCTTTTAGGTTTGAGTTGTAGAGCAAACGTCTTTTCCATCGCCACTAGTTACCTACTTTTATCAATATCATTCTGCATTTACAAGTACTAATATCTACATAAATTCATAATTTAATAGGTTTTTATTAAAATAGTTATTTACATTATCTGTGATTTCACTGAAGACTCTTAGATGACTTGCAGAATCACATGATTTTCTCTTTATGGCATATAACACAAAATCTAGTTCTGACAAGAGCATGAATTATGTACTAATAATCTCTAATGTTGGAATATTTATGTGCATAATTAAACCCAGTGCTTTTGTTGTCAATTAATTGTTGATATATATAAAATTAAATTGTTTTGAATACTCTACTTGAGCAAGAAAAATGGCTAAGGGTGATCATGGCCACCTCTGGCCCCCCCATCTAGCTTCGCCCCTGCTGCCCTGCCGGGGAGGAGGAGCTTAGCGATGTAACTCCTAGGTCAAACGGAAGCAGGTTGCTTTTTCGGTGAAGTTAGTATGATATTGGTCTTGCACCAACTAAAGCACTGGATTGTGTTGTGCTCCTACAAAGCGAAAGCTAGCTTCACTTCCCTTGGCTGACGGAAGTGTGACACGACTTAGGACCAAAACAAGGTTATTTGGAGGTAAGGGGTGGTTCATTTATTCACTCAATGGCTGTTTGTCTTAATTTTATTTTGGGGAAATGAATAGAAGAGCTGTCAGTAAGGAGAAAATGATCCAATAACTGTTGGCTAGCCATTAGCGAGACTAACAGCTAAAGCTAATTGTATTTTGCTAACCTTTTAGCCTGCTAGCCGCTTGAGGTTGAAAGGTAACTTGTTGGAAACTTCTAGAAAGGTACCACATGTTTGTAATTACTATTAATGGTTATCAGTTAACTGGTTAGGCACTGCATTTTCCCCGAACTTTTCAGAGCGGTATTTGTTTGCGTTACATCTGACTGTAACGTGTCATTTAAAACGATTTTGTAGCATTCAAATGCATATAATGGTGTTTTTGCTTTGCCTTCCAGAGCGATGCTCTATTGATTGATAAGGGGAAGGCTATGGACGCATCAGATGGGAATGACAGTGTTTCATCCTCCAAGAAGAGTGGGAAAACCTCGTTGCTGGACAGCGGGGAGGACTTTGAGGTTTTAGACGAAGAAGACATCGATGATGACCTTCCTCCTTTGGAGGATGCTGGGGGTGCAGATGGAAATAAAGCAGAAAAGAAAAAAGAAGAAGAAAAATCAGAGGCTTCTGAACAAACTGATGAATGGCTGGATGTGTTGGGTATGTCAGAAATGTTTAAATGGATATGAATTTGTGGTTTTATTCTTCTGGAAAGGTTTACCCAAGCTTCGAAGCAACTGTAAATAATGATGTCCTTTTTTTGGACTAAAGCTGCCAGGAGGAATCCCAGCAGTTTCTACTAAAATATTAAATATAGACTCAAACTGTGACACTGTCTGTTCCTAACTCTTACACTGCACAATGTTAAATGTAACTGATTTGGCTTCAGATTGCCCAACAATCACTAGAAGGAGATCAATCTAGTTAATTCTGACTTTTTTTTTTTTTTTTTGCAGGAAATGACCAGCTAAAGAAGAAAGTCGTAGAGGCAGGAAAGGGGCGAGACAGCCGGCCTCAGAAGGGACAGAATGTGGAAATTAATCTGAAAACACAATTAATGGATGGGACGCTTGTAGATGAGCAACATAATCTTTCCTTTACTCTCGGGGACGGTGATGTTATCCAGGTGCAATTTTATTTTCTGTGTGTGTGCATACATATATTTGAAACATTTTTGTTTAAAATGTAAGTATGCACAAAATTATCCATTATATGTTTGGCGTGTATGAAAGTAGCCATTGTTGAAAATGTGTTTAACCTTAATATATTTAAAATGCGCTCCTCTCTTCCAGGCGCTGGATTTGACTGTGCAGCTCATGGAAATGGGAGAGAAGGCGCTTATTCACACGGATGCAAAATATGCATATGGTGCCAGGGGAAGGTAGGAAAATGGGCTTTGAATTTCTTTCTTATCCTGAATACAAAGTGTGGATTGAACTGCTCAGAAAACAATTTACTGCAAGAAAACCTGGTTCAAAAGGAGAAAAACAAATCAGGCTTTGTTAACCTTAGTCCACTGAATTCTGTCTTGCTTCAAATAAAGCTACTTTGCTGTAAGCAAGTGTTTGTTGGTCAGATGTGTTGCGCTGGGAAATAAGTAGAAGAATGTGCTAATGTCAAAAAAAAAAAAAAAAGGTTCAAACTTGATGTCTTTCAACTGATAAAGAAAGCTATGTTCACCTGGTAGGGACTGTTGACAGATCTGGTCTTTACATGGATTGTTGCCAAATTGAGGCAACACTTTTATCAAAGAACAGTTGATCATATCTCTATACTTTAGCCTAATACAATAGAAATGTAGGGTATGTTTGAGGAATGCATAAAGGCCTCTCAGTCCTTTTTCATTAGGTAAACCGGTCGATTTTACTGATTTTATAAGTGATATTTCTGGACAAGCAGATTTTAAAGTAGCAACATAAAGCCAATTGTCACTGCATTTTAAGTAAGTTGGGTCACACATGACTTTTTTTCTCAGCTGTACGTACATCATACCAGACCGGTGCAGCATCAGCATTATAGCAGCGTATATTGATCTACCGCTCCTTTCTCTCCTCACTGCTAAACAGGACCCCAGATACTCCACCACTTAGGAATTGTTCTCCAACCTGAAGGGGACAAGCAACCCTTTTCTGGTTAAAAACAATGGCACCGGACTTGGAGGAGCTGGTTCTCATCCTAGCCGCTTCACACTCGCCTGCAAACCTTCCCAGTGCATTCTGTTGGTCTTAGCAGGAGGAAGCCAACAGAACCACATCATCAGCAAAAAGCATAGACTAGCCCATTTACACTACCCGTGCAGTCAGTAGGACTCGGCGCGGTTTACTTCTGGCTCAGTTCTCGGATAACAAAGAGGGCATGAGCAGTCCGTGTCATCTCCTTACAGTTAGCTTCGGTAATCATGAAACTTCAGACATTCATAAAAGTACAAGCTTTCCTACCGTGCCACACGATTTTCAGTAATGATTCGGCTTAGCAGTGTGATGAACCTTAATGTCCATCGTTGTTTCCTGTATCTGTAAACCCTGATTAGACTATGGTTTGTCCACTTCCCAAAAGCCGACTCAGTCAAGTAAATTCAGGCTGCCTTTTTCGCCTGACTCTCTGCAAACAACGAAATATCACAATGATAACAAAACATAACTTCCTGAATGTTACGGGCGCTGCCATGTTGGTTTGCTTGTTTACCTCTAGAGAGCAGTAATACCATAGATCGTCACTAGGAGGTGACGACCGCTACTAGTGTGATGTGTAAATGGTCATAAGGAACCAAGCTCTGCATGGGTTGGTTTTCAGAGGGTAGTGTAAATGAGGCTTAAGTCCTCTGAACCCCGAATATGATCCCCTCAGGCCCTTGGCTGAATCTAGAAATCCTGTCCATAAAGGTTTAGAATGGGAAAAGTGGCAGAGGGCGGCTCTATCAGAGTCCAACATACACCGAGGACAGGCAATGCAGACCATACTCCTGCTCCCCTTCTACAGAGACTGGATAGCCCCTAGTAAAGGGTGCCGGACTCTGTACTCTAAGAGCACAACACTTGTGGACTGGTTGGGCGAATGCCCATGTGCCCTCAATCACCCTGCAGAGGGTGTAGAGCTGGCTCACTTCTCCACGGCCAGGATGAAAACCACACTGCTGCTCCTGAAGCTGAGGTTCAGCCATCAGCTGGACTCTTCTCTCCAGCAAACCTGGTAAAGGCCTTCCTGCAGAGGCTGTTGAGTGTGATTCCCCCTCTTATGCAGGGAAACCACCACCCCAGTCTGACAGCCATGGGCCCTGGCCCTGACCTCCATGCGGTGATGAAGAGATTGTGTCATCCACAACAGCCTAATAACATCCAGAGCTCGAAGGAACTCAGGGCAGGTCTAACCCAACCCCAAAGCCTTGACACCAGGCAGTTTTTTTTTCTTTTTGTTTTTTTTTTACCTATTGGTGACTTCAGCCTGGGTTATGAATGAATCCAGTCCCAACCAACCCCTCTCTTCTTCCACCATGGAAGGAATGTCAGATATCACTCCTCTCTCTCACAATTGCTGCTGCCTGGTGTGTTTTATTCACATATATGTACAGTTTTTAAGGTGCAAATAGAAATTCTTAGTCATATTTTTTAGCAAAATGTTGAAATGGATCAAGAAGCATGGAGTTATACTTTATGGTGTGTATGTCTTGCAATAAAACAAAAATTGTTCTTTAATCCAGAGCAGATCGCTATACATTTAAAAATATAGCGATATAGCTTGAAATGTTTTTAGTCAGCTTGCTTGTTACTTTATGTTAAAATTCTATTTATTTCACCTACTCCAAGCTATAATATTATTATTATTATATTTTTATTAGGGTTGTACAAAATAAAATTTTAACTGTTTGAAATTAACACAAGCAGATGTTTTTATGAAATTGTTTAGATTACCAGTTATTTTAATTTGGTTTTCTTCATGGGTTCTGTTACTCCTTCTCTCGCCAGCCTTGAACCTGAGGTCCCCCCTAACGCTCAGCTGTCTTTGGAAGTGGAGCTGTTGAAAGCTGCTGATGCACCAGATGTGGAGCTCATGCCACCTTCTGAAAGAATTGCTTTGGCCGTCCGCAAGAGAGAGCGGGGGAATGTTCACTATCAGCGCGGGGATTATGCGTTCGCCGTCAACTCCTACAGCATCGCCCTGCAGATTGCAGAATCCAGCTCCAAAGGTAAGAGTTATCCACAGGGAGGGACTCATATTTGGGAATGTAGTCTTGTGTTTTGATGTCCTATTATATAAACTATGTTCTAATGGTTGTTTTTTAGTTCAATTTTGAAGTCATATTTACATATTTATTTCATATTTCTACCCCTCTTGGGTCTTGAGGAAACATGTTTTTTGTTGTGTTTTTTTCTTTCCTACTTCATATTTTCTGTCTTTTGTTTCTGGAATAATAACCTTTTTTTCTGAAATAATTATATAAATAACACATTGCAATATGAAAACCATAAGATATTTCTGAGAAGCAGATGGATTCACATTGGATTTTAAAAATCCCTGATTAATTTTGCTCTTGTGTTCCAGTTGACATTAGCCCCGAGGAGGAGGAGGAGCTGCTGGATGTTAAAGTAAAGTGTCTGAACAACATGGCTGCCTCTCAGCTAAAGCTGGACCACTACGATGCTGCCCTCAAATCTTGTGTCTCGGCTCTTGAGCACCAGCCAGATAACATAAAAGCCCTTTTCCGCATGGGCAAGGTATTGCTACCGTTCTTTCACCTTTGGAGCTCTGTTGAACGCTACCAGATTCAAGCATTATATGGTCTGTGTTTTCCATTCAGGTACTGGCTTTGCAAGGTGAATACACAGAGGCCATTCAAACCTTACGGAAAGCACTGAAGCTGGAACCGAGCAACAAGGTAAGATAAGTGAAGAGTTCATGTTTGGTGTGTGCATCTTTCTTATTTGTTGACAAGAAATGACCACTAGATGGTGCCACTGGGTAAAAAGTAAATCCCATTGCAGAGCAAGGTCAGGTGTATAGCTGATTCATCATTTCAAAGGATCTGTTTTCATGTTGCTGCTGTAAATAGGTTCACCCTAGGCTCTGGCTGTATCTAAAGCCTATCCGGGCTTTCTCTCCCGCTTATACAGCCGACTATATAAGGTTCTTTAGCTATATAAGGACCCCTTAACAGTTTATTTTCAAGTGTGTGGGCTCTTGGATCAGCTGCATAGTAGTTGATGCCCAGAACTCCCCACGTCAGTCCTACACCAATCTGTTGCTCAGTGCACGGCCTGTGCACCACTTCCAAGTTATACACACGCAGTGTAGTAAAAGGTACCTTTTCATTTTGGACAGATTTAAGTGAGTTAAATTGCTTACAGACCAGTCTGTACTCTGGAATGGGAAACATGTAATTTGTGCATTTGATCTAAAGACGTTGAAGAACTAAGAAGCTTCAGCAATAAACCTTTAGCACCAGAAGAAATTCAAGTTTTTTTGTTTGTTTGTTTTTTATCACAACTGATAAGATTGAAAGGACACAAATTTTTTGGATTTTAATATTCTTGTCTGTAGAATGTGTTTAGTTAAATCAGAGCTGGAAAGCCTTTCCTGTCATCAAAAAGGCTTTTATGACGAGATAATCTTTCCTATTTATATTTGTGAAACATATAACATATTGGTTTAATACTAAAGTAAGCATCTGTACTGTTTTCTCTTTTAATGAGTCGTTACGATCAATAAGATGCTTTCTAACAGGTGCTGGAAGTGAAAAAATTTTACTGTTGCTTCGCTCTTCATGCACGACAGAAACACTGTTTACATTTGTCACTCTGTCATTATGTACGCCCCCTCTGTCTTTAGTTCTGACGGGAGACGATTTATTTGTCTGGTTTGTTTATTTTTTTTTAGTTGACATGCCGACTTGACTTTTCCTGGTTAGAATGTCTTTGACTGAGTACAGTGTTTGAACAAACAGGACATGACATGTTTGCTTATCCTACTTTGTCCTTCTTTGTGGAAACTTGTTTAATTTTTCTACAGTAATACTGAAGGTTTTCATTGGAAGCACATCTAAACACCGTCCCTTTAGAGTATAACTGGCAGCAGAAATGACTGAACAAAGGCTACAAACTAAACAGATTGAGCTAGTCTGGTTGGGTAAATATTTCTGTAAACTGTTACTTCTTAATTACTACTTAATTCTGATGAATTGCTATTACTGAACGCAAACATTTTCTGTCTCTGATAAAGCTGATATGCTTAGTCACTCAACAGCTTTAAGAGCAAAGAAATGACTCAGACCGGAGCCTGTGCTGGAACAATAACTGAAGTCAGATCCTGGAATATTTTTGAGGACATGTAGGCTGATTATTGTAATGGAAGCCTGTGATTTCTTGGAAGTGGGCAGAGAAGAACTAACTTTTTGCAGCGTTTAGTCATCTTGAATTAGTAAAGTTATTGTTTCCTTTATCGATAATTCGGAATGTCTTGGCTAATTTAGTTTGGAAATGTTTTCCACATCAGTTGCCTGCTAATATAAAGGTTTTTGTCACGACATTAGCAGTTTTTTGAACAGAAGGACTGTATTTTCCTAGAGAAATTAATAAGTGCAGTGATGGATAGAAGTATGGTTCTTTAAGTCCAAACAAAAAGTTTGGAAGGGATTTAATCTGGTTTTGATATTTTTATGAAGAAGAAAATTAGAAAAGGAAAGATATAATCTTTGGTTTTACATTTAAAATGACAAAATTTGTAAAATAAAAAAAAACTGCTCTAATCTGTATGCCCTTAACTAGCAAGTATACTAAAAAATCTGCCTACAAGTTACCCAAACACGCATCCATTGATATTGACATTTGAAATTATGACCTCTAAAATGTTTGGGAGCTGTTTTTAAGTTTTGAACATAATCTTATAGCATCCCTTAATTATTATTCTGTTTTTGTTTTTTTTTTATCTGTACAGACAATTCATGCAGAGCTCTCAAAGCTGGTGAAGAAGCACTCGGAGCAGAGGGGAGCAGAGCAGGCCATGTACAAGAAGATGCTAGGAAATCCTTCTAGTAGTAGCAGTACGCACAAATCAAGAGCCAAGTCTTCATGGGTGAGAAATGCTAAAGCAAGAAATTGCAAGAATTGTAAAATTCATGGCTAAGATTTTCCACCATTTTTGGTCTATTGGTAAATCACTAAAATATAAGTTTTTGTTTATTTTTTAGTTTATGTAAAGTTTCATTAAAATTAGGGACATTTTTTTTCTAGTTCTCCATGTTGTCGACCTGATAAGTTGACCCCCACTACCACTGCTTTTCTATCCACAGAGTCTCAGTTGGAAGTGGCTTTTTGGTGCAACTGCTGTAGCCATTGGTGGAGTAGCTCTCTCTGTTGTCATAGCGGCCAGAAACTGAGGTGAACCAGGAGAGTCAAAGGCAGCGTGGGGAGCCTAAAACACTGAAGCACATCTGCCAGTGCCAGCAGTCCTTCAATAAAAGGACATGAAAATGTCAGGTGGTTAATCACCTCCTTACCGTTCCTCTCTTTTCTCTACTATGTTTGAGAACTATATGTGACAATTGGTAACTGCATATGGGAAAATGTATTTCCAGCCTTGTAGATGTATAGGTTAATGCATCTTTCTTATGTTCCCGCTGTCTGTCGTTCTTAGTATTCCGTATGTGGAACTAATTGTTAATCGAGGTTGAAGATATTTTTAACACATAAATATTAAATTGTTATTCTACAGATATAGTTTGAAAGCATTGAATCGTGCTTGTTCAGTGATATTTATTACCCAAGTGATGTGATTTCAGTGAATGGTACAGTGTTCCCTCTCAAACATCTGAGGTCCTCAGGATGGTTGGCTGTGTGCTGCCCTGTTTACGCTCTATATAGACTCTATGTAAATACACTTACTGACCAAAGTAATCAGAACACCTCTATAAATCATTGCAATACAGCAGTCCTAAATTAACCTGTTTATTTGTGATGAGTCTCCTATAAATTGTAGAGTAAAACATGAGGCAGAACAAACCCTAATAACTTTCTTTGCTTTAATTTTTAATTCACGGTTGATATGTTTCTTTATTTCTTACTAATCCTGTTATTAGCCATCCATTATTAGGAAAGTTTATTTAATTTCACTAAGCTATGCTTTATTTTCCACTTTTGTAATGTTGATCATTTTCTCTACTGGACCATTAGATTGCATTTTTAAGTTAATTTCTCATGTTTGTTCCAAAACTATAAAATGTAAGATTGTGCTAAATGTTTGGTTTCCTCAGAATAGATGAGGAGAAGCTGCATTATGCCAACTGGGTAACTATTCAAAAGAGCTCCTGGCATTCCTTGCTTTTCTTAGTTTTTGTATTCCTCACAAATAAATATCTTATTAAAGTAAAGTTTGTTTTGAGTTTGTTTATTTTTTTAACTATTGAAAACCTTTAAATGATTATGTTATATCTTCTCCAGTTGGAGAAAAATCCCTGTTGTGATTTTAAATATGTATTACAAGAGGGTGTAGAGGTGACACAGCAGGGACATTTCCCATCCTGTGAATTAGGTCATGTATTTCTCTCGTACAATAATCAGAAGTCAATTGCTAGATATTTATCCTCAGTGTTTGTTTACAGCTGATCATTCTAAAAGCTGCAGCATATCTGTTTACGTTGTACGAATGCTTTGCTTATCTTTTTACTCCTGACTTACTTCCTGAATGGTGCTTCGTGACAAAATTAGAGGACCTGTCTTTCCTGATTCTGATGCATCACTGCCCAGCAGATCTTTCCCTGCACTGAGTTAGATGTCCATTTATCCTGTAACATACAGTCATAAATTCAGTGAATATGACTCTTAATTTCATCCTTAATTCAAAGTATTTTTCTCACAGGTTGTTTTTTTTATATTTATATTGCACTGAAGTGTGAAAAGGTTTGATAAAGTATTAAAAGTTAAATACTATTTTATGCATTTAGATTAAAGGATTTTTTTTAACCTGGAGACCTGTCCAGGGTGTACCTCTCCTTCTCGCCCATTGACTGCTGGAGATGGGCACCAGCACCCCTCGCGACCCCACTCGGCATGTTAGAAAATGGATTGATGGATGGATTTTTTTTTTTAACAACTAGAATATTAGTTTAAAATCAAAGATAATTTAGCAGATTGAAATTCCTCATAATGTATTGTACATTGATAGGGATACAAAAAGCAATTATTTAAAATTTTAGACGATTAGGTACCTTTTTTTTGTTCAGACCCACAGAGCCCCAAACATTGAATTACTAATAAAACATGGGTGAGTTGTATGAGTCATCTGTATTGATATTTATGAATGGTAAAATGTTTTTACATACAAATATTTTTAAAGAGTATCCAATGCAACCACAAAGTTACATAATTACATGAAAATAAGTCCTGAGGGTAAATATGTATTCATTTGTTACAAATATATCTGTTAAGCTTGAGGTTGAATATTAAAACCATTTAATTTCCAGTTGAAAACAACAGTGAGGTTAAAGTAGTAGATATATACCACTTAAAAATCTGTCAAAAAATTAATGAAAAGTATTTACCTATCTTAATAAGCATCCAACATTTCTTTTGATTAAAGTTAGAATTCTGAGAAAAAAAGTCAGAATTCTGAGATTAAAGTCAGAATTCTGGGAAAAAGTGAATTCTGAAAAAAAAAGTCAAAATTCTTAGATTAAAGTCAGAATTCTGATTAAAAAAAAGTTAGAATTCTGGGATTAAAGTCAAAATTCTGGGGAAAAATATCAGAATTCTGGGAAAAAAGTCAGAATTCTGAGAAAAAGGTCAAAATTCGTAGATTAAAGTCAGAATTCTTAGATTAAAGTCAGAATTCTGGTTAAAAAAAAGTTAGAATTCTGGGATTAAAGTCAAAATTCTGGGGGAAAAAAATCAGTATTCTGGGAAAAAAGTCAGAATTCTGAGAAAAAGGTCAAAGTTTGTAGATTAAAGTCAGAATTCATAGATTAAAGTCAGAATTCTGGTTTTAAAAAAAGTTAGAATTCTGGGATTAAAGTCCGAATTCTGAAAAAAAAAAAAAAAGCCAGAATTTTGAGAAAAAAGTCAGAATTCGTAGATTACTGTCAGAATTCTGAGGAAAAATTCAGAATTCGTAGATTAAAGTCAGAATTCTGAGAAAAAAAGTCTGAATACTGAGTTTAAAGTCAGAATTCTGAGTCAAAATTGTTACTTTTTCCTCATATACTGAAATAAAATTAGTAATCATTTACGTTTTTTTTTTTTTCAGTGGCCCTAATCCTCTTCCGTACCTGACCTGACGTTACCTGAGGAACTTTTTAAGAGTTTTCAAACTAAAGGCAAAAACAAAGATAAATGTAAGGGTTTATTATATTCTGAAGCTAATAACAGAAGCGTGGTCATATAAAGCTTTCAGTGAATCTAACTGCTTCCTCTCGGTGACTTCATCCGTGACCAGCCACTGAATATTCAATGAAAAGCAACGGGACTTCTCGGTTTACGACAGTGTGGGAACGGTGGGCAAGATGGCGGCGCTGAAGGAGGAGCGGAGCTACGGACTGTCCTGTGGAAGAGTGAGCAACGGCAGTAATGTCACCGTCTTTCACGTTAAACTCACTGACAGCGCTTTGAGGGCGTTGGAAGGCTTTCAGAGCAGCAAGGTAAATGTGTTGTTTGTGACAGCTCGCCATTTTCATCGGGGTCTGAACTCTTTCTTCCCCCCCTGTCGGCAGTGACAGACAGGCAGAGGGAGGTCAGTCACCGCTCTGTCTACCGCTGCCTTTAAACCTCAGAAGCCTGCTTTCTGTCCAGCTTTTAGAGTTGGGTGTGTTGTAGCGGGGCTTTGGTTCGGACTCCCCACCGATTGTGTGACATTTGTTCACCACAGAACCTGGAAGCTCATGTCATCCCGTTAAGGTGTTCCGTTCGGTTTGCGCAACAGTTCTAACTCAACTCGCCCCCAAACATCTGTCGGGAGAATAATCTGGGCTGTCATGAGCAGATGCTTCCAGAAACTTTGTTGAGGTGAACAGGAATATTTGCTAGCAGAACCAGTCATGGTGGGATCTTTAAATCCATCTCTTCTGATCTAACACCTTTTAAAAGTCAGCGGAAACGGAGAATTTGGTCGACTTGTCAAATGACGCCGTGAATAATTAGGGAAGAGCAGGCAGCAGTCATGCGAGAAGTGCTTATTTCATTCCCCCAACCCCCTCAGTCAGGGTAAGGGCTCACAGCTTGGGAATTACGTAAAACCTAACATTTGTTTTTTATTCAATGTACTCATTTCCACAGTGTTTTTAAATAAGCAGTGGCTGTATACCTTCCTGCTCTCTGGTTCTCTGCTCAGAGCTTTAAGGCTGTTCTGTGGCCATCTAACGTTTCAGCTTCTATAAATATTTGACAGGGAAGACCTGGCAGGCTGGAGGAAAAGGGCTTTATCTCCACAACAGGACTGCAGCTGATAAACCAAAACAAGTAGACTGGAACAGGTAAACTGGGTCTTAGGAAGAGTCATTTTTCTCATAAATAAGCATGACAAGTTTACCAAGAAGGTTGAACTTATCTCTTCGGTGCCACCAAGCAATTTTAGACTTGGAAAATACTCTTAAAACTACTTGCTACACTTGCTATGCAATATCAGTTTAACTCTTTATGCAAAGTGTCACATGGAGAGCATCATGTCATTGTGGCTCCAGTGGTGGAGCTAGATGGGGGGGCCAGGGGTGGCCATGGCCCCCATTAGTCTATCGTTGGCCACCGCTGTGGCCACCCCTACCATTCTTCCCTTCTAATACAGATATTGGCAGCAGTAATACTCTCACGTGGAATATTCAAAACTAGGGCTGGGTATTTGCGCCAAAGTCTTGAATCGATTAGATTTTGATTCATACAGCTCTAAATCGATTAATTTGAGTCGATCTGTTTATGCAATAATCAAAGGCTATGTTCACACTGCAGCCTGAAGTGACCCAAATCCGATTTTTTTTTTGGACCATATGCGACCTGGATCTGATCTTTTCATGGCAGTCTGAACAACACGGATCCGATTTTTTTCCAATCCGACCCAGGCCACTTGGCTATGTGGTTCTGAATCCGATATGAAACTGGTCTTTTCAAATGCGACCTTTGTCTGAACGGCCAGGTGGCATTCATCCGACCTGAATGCCATTAATACTCGACAAAGGTCACTATTGTGCGTCTTGCTACACAGAAGCGGCAAAAACAAACAACCACCATGGGGAACGATAATGCAGAGGGCAGTATTTATGTTTAACCATATTAAAAATAATTAGTTTTTATGGTTGGAAAAGATCGCTAGATGCGCGCCGGCACTACCATCCATGTTTACTATACTCATGTATTTTATGTTTTTCCTGTCATATTAAACACTAAGTGCAAACTTGTAAATCAGTTTAAACTTGAAATGTGAACAAAACTGTCTCAAAAGTGCAAACTTGTTTGTGAAAAGTGAAAAAGTGAAGCCTCGCACGAGCAAGCAGACGGGACACAGCAGACGTGCATGAGCTGCGTTATCTTCACTGCACAAACCGTATTTGCAGCGTTGTCTGTAACAACTACAGGGTGTTTGCTGGTCAGCCCCCATTTGTTAATGTCTTCAGTTAACCTATTGGCTATATTGCAGGTGTCTGTCTGGCTTGAAGTAATCTTGGTGGTCTGTAACACGAGATGCAAGGCGCCACTCATTATCAATGTAGTGGGATGTCACCTTAATGTCACATATCCAGCATATTATCTTTAGCTGTTTTAAATCCAAATTGGTTCCAGAAATCAGACTTCAGTTGGGACAGCTTGCTGAGTGGCGTGTTATTTGGGTTGGCATTTGCACACGCCTGCTCATTTGAATGTGAACTTCATGTGCATCACTATAAAAGTAATCAGTCTCATTCCCTACACATGAATTTTGCTAAAATGTCTATTTTACTGGTCTATTCACTTTCAAAGTGAATAGACCAGTATCAGTTGTTGCAGGCTAACAAAGAACCCAAACGACTGCCCATCCTGATTGGGCGGACCTGTTCTTCCTATTCAATTTGCATGTTTTTTAAGCCAAAACAAGGCTTTGTTTTGGGCTGCTCTATAAAGCCTCGAACTCAACGCTAATTCTGACATTTTGAATTGAAAAAGCTTCCTGGATGGGAAGCAAAAGTCTTCAAACTTCGAAACAAAGTCCAGTTGATTGTTTAACTTTTTTTGGCATGACTATGACCCGCATGACTGAGAATCTTCTCCAGCAACTTGTTAGGAAGCCAATGCGTAGTAAGTGTACTTTATTGTTTCACCCCTTTGTCATGTTTATCGAATGTAAGCAGAGTTGTTCTGGCTTGTTAGTTCTATAGACTGCCGCGGTGTGTCGTCCACTCAATGGTATCCCGTTTCCAGTTGCCAAAAAAACAGCTGAGCAGTCTGAAGTCGATTTTGGGCCTGGGCCTTTAACGAGTCGTTTTCACGCAGGTCAAGGGGGGTCAGTGAGCTGTTCCCTCTGCCACTAAATGCAGATTGTTCCCGGGTTTAAATGGGTTTTCAGCCAGTGGGAAAGGGGTAAATAAGTTAAGATTTGAAGATCTGCTGCAGGTTGAAGACTCCTGCAACATCAACATTTGAGAGTAGTAGGAAAAAAATTCTATTGCTGAGCAGTAAGATGGAGCTTATTGGGGTCTGTTTGGACTAATTGGACTGCATTTTCACTGGGGAAAAAATATCTACGAGTGACAAATATGCACAAAAATGAATTGGATTGATGGACTAAAACGGCCGCAAATCATGCAATATGAAAATAAATTAAAGTTAACCTGTGCTATTACTCCACATTTGACCTCCTACTCTTCATTTTTCTTCTTTAAAATGTCTCCATCAATTTTGGTTTGGGGTTTATATCAGGTGTTAGCATAATGAATACTGGGAAGCAGAATATGGCAGCTGAAATATGCCAGACCATTCATACAAAACTTCATATATCATATAGTGAAATTATATATTCAGTAAATTCTGTTGATCCAAAAAGATTGGCAATAAACCCAGCTAGTAACGCTTAAGTAACCCAACTCGAATGCTTATGAATTCATGGTCAAATTTGACAAATCTGAAAGGAAATATCAGCGTATAGTCCCACCGTGGGGAAAGCTGCCCTCTGTGTGTAACCCATCTTGCCACGCTGTGTAGCATTCTGGGGTTTGGGGTCCTGCTCAGAGCCAACAGTAACAGTCTGAGGTTGGAACCAGCAATCTTGCGGTCTCGTCGCAATGCAAACGCCCTGCTTTCTAACCACCAGTTCCGCGCTTCCGCAATTATGACATAGGAGTTCCTCATATTCCATACATTTTAGTGATCCGTAAAAATGGGATTTCTTCCTTTTCATTCTTTTAAAATCCATACTTCATTACCTAGTTTCTGTTTTTTATTCTAACAATAGCTGAGAACTGTCTTTAAATAAAATCTAGAATAAAGTCTGAGTTCTTGGGGTAAAATAATCTTGACTTGACATGCGATCAGAGATGTTGCTGCTGCTGCTTCTTTCCATGTTGATAGTTATTTTATTTAGAGTTAAAAAGTCATTGGGTTGTTTTAAAACTGAAATATGGCTCAAAAAATATCTGTTATTTTTCATCTTGGTCGTTGCCTGAACCTAGTCCTGCTCGGATAGTCCATGCATTCTTGCTGATGTAGGCACAGCTAATGATTTCACAGGAACCTTTGTCGTTTTTTACATTCAGAAAATAAAACCCAAAACACTTCTGTGATCTTTTGGCTTTACTGTAGAAGAAGACATTTTACGATGCAAAGAAATTCGTTTTTTTTGTTTAACTTTGTGCAACTGTTTGAAGAACATCAAGCATAGATAACAGAAGCTGATAACCTGGAGAGTCGTACGCTTCAGCCAGACCAGACAGTGCAAAAACAAGTTTGTGATTTTCATCCGAAGCAGATAAGCAGTCTTTGCAGCCGCAGTTTCCACATTCATTATAGGTTAACCATGTCTTTATGCCTTTCCTAGTTATTACTCTTAGAAACAGCTACTCGGTGTTGTGGGACGGGCTATGGCACATAACTGACTGGGTCTGTGAAGGGGCTAATTTTGAGAAAAGTGCTCATCATGGTGGTGTGAAAAATGGGTATCTGGAGGACCCTGGATTGTGCTTTGGTCACTTTTTGCCATTTTTGGTAATCTTGTAGATCTGTGTTTGAATTACAGGTAAAATGATCGTAAATGACTGTAATTTCAGATGATGGGGAATATTCATGCAAATGTTGAAGCTCTTTGTCATTATAATTTTATTAAAAGGCCATAAAGTTGAGTCTAAAATGCTCTCAAAGGGAAACTTGGTGATGCATGTCAGACCGACATCTTCAAAGTATTTCTCTTTAAGGATAACTGAACTTTATTAACACTGAACTTCATCTGTTGCGGATGGAGGCCATTTGCAATTGGATGGAATGTTATTCATCAGTAAAATCTTTTTGTTTTAGACATTGCAACACCCTAGACTTGACTGTGAATTGCTTTCAGTGTGACTCAGGTATTTTCTAGGGGATTTGCTGTAGCTTTGTCATAACCCGAACACTGGCTGGTACGCACGCAGCTGCAGCAGCGGGTTGGATGAGGTGAGGAGTTAAACTCCTAATTGTGTCACCATGCAAT